CGTAGAATTTGTCTCTTGCGGCGGCGTCGGGGTTGGTCATCGTCGGAGCGTAGGCGCTGATGATGGTGGCGAATTTGCCTCCCCAGAGAGGCAGGCGGAGGCTCATCAGGCGATCGTTGATGCCCTGCGGCAAACAGGGCAGTCGTCCCACGATATCGGTCCGGATGGCGAAGGCGACGCCCGCGTCTCGTCGCTCTGCCCTGGATCGGCCGCTCCAGAAGAAGGTATAACCGGCACCCACCTCCTCCAGTTGGCCTTGTTCGGAGAATCTGGTCTCGCTGAGTGCGGCGATGTAGCGCGCCAGTTCTCGTGCCACTAGCGCCGTCCTCCGTTCCGGTCGGTTGCTCCTCGGATTGTCTAAAAGGGAACGAACATTCCAGGCTGCCAGAGTGAGCGGGCTCACCCTGTCAGTCTGGGGAAAACGAGTGGGGCGATGGGAAGGAGGTGGAGAAGAAGATGACGAAGGAGAAGAATAGGCAGAAGAATAAACGGAGGTAGAGGTAGAAGAGGTAGGATGAGGAGAAGGAGTATGGTTGTTGTTGTTGTTGTTTCGAGTTTGATTGTTTCGACCGTGAGTTTTGCGTCTGCGACCACGGTGCGCCAGCAGACGACGTGGTTCCCCAGCAATGTTTAGGCCAGCTTTTCCAGGCCCCCCCCGAAGGAAGCAGTGCCCTGACCCCTGAATAGGGGCTGCTTGATGTGCCGGCGCGGCCGAACTCCACTGTGGGCCACGAGTTTTTTTGGCAGTGGAAGAACGACTCGAATTTGCCAATGGCTTACGACATTGCCGCAAGCCTGCGGTCTCCTACGGTGCACCAGATGGGCGCGTGTCGACGGTGCCAATTCGGAGATCCATCCCACCGGCTGATCAACGACGTACCAGGCGGAGCCTCGTCTAGACGATGTCGATGCGACGTTCCACCACCAACCGGCTGACCAGCGGTGTGTCAGACAGAGCCTCGTCACGACGGCGCCGACGCGGTGTTCCATCCGACCAACCGTCCACGGAGTCCGCATTCACCTGTGCACGCGGCACAACGCGCACAGGGAGTAACCGCCCTCACCTGGTTTAGCCCGCCGGTCGAGACGGTTGCCCGGGGTGTGGCCGCTGAGCAGAGCCCAGCTACGTGGAGCCACAGGTGAGAGTTGAGTGCCAGCAAGTGGACGCTAGGCGTAGTCTCACCTGCAAGCAAGTGTGTACTTACAGTTATTCTCACGTGTTTATTCCTGTTATGGAAACTCAGCTTTTCTGTACAGATCTGGAGTTCCTAATTTAAGTACCTAATTCGTCAGCCGTTTGCCTTTTAAAACTAGAGGCCCCAACCGGTTCAACAGTTTCACTTCCTGTTCAAAGCATTTTCAAACATATTGCGAGCATACATTAAGTGTGGAATTCAATAGAATTTTCAGTTCTGGTGCATCTTATCCCAGAAAACTGGTGAATTTGCTAATCGACCTTTCTGTATTCTGCAATTGTGATCCAGATCGATCGAAAGCCATGCTGTCTCGAGTGTTCGGTATAGGACAAGTGAAACTGGCTGACACTATGTTATACACACGCCTTTACTTATTATTCCCAAACCTTACCTGAGACCACCTCGTGTCATCGAAAATAATACTCGAAACTATTTGAGGAAGATATTGCGCTGGTTACTGTACCGATTTTCAAGCAAGGCAATTCGTTTGTTGTATTACGCACTTGTCTAATCGAGTTTTTACTGACTCCTGCCTAAGTCTGAAGTAAGGGTGGAGCTTTGGAGCTCTAGCATGCGAAGAAGATGTTTTCGTCTTTTCAAGATCACAATCGTGATGTTGGCCTAGATTTTTATTTTCAGGAGGCCCTGCCAGTATGTGTAAAAAATATGATTAACTTCAATGTTCCTGACCAATCTAAAGTATTCTACAGGGTTTCGAATAAACGGTTATCCGAAGATGCAAGACAGCACGTAATATTATTCTTTCGTGCATTCTTGAACACTGTTCGTCGGCTGAAGCACTTCCAGTCGCGTGTACCCACGACTACCGCCCATGATCTTCCCTTCGCCAACGACTGCGCTCTCAATTCCACCTCAGAAGGGGATATGCAAGGGAACATGTACCTCTTCGTCGCAGCCTGCGACAACTTCGGCTTGGTCATCAGCACCGGGAAAACGCCACCCGACGCTGCCTACGTCACAACCAAAATCAACGTGAACGGCCCCCAACTGCAAGTCGTGGACAACTTCACCTACTTGAGCAGCACTCTCTCCCGCACCACAAAGATCGACGATGAAGTGGCCCGCCTAATCTCCAAAACCAGTTAAGTTCTCGACTGCGAAACACAGTTTGGAATCGCCACTATCTCCATCTTAACATTAGAATGAAGATACACAAGGCAGTCATCCTGCCGGCGCGGAGACATGGACGGCGTACAAGAAGCAGGCGCAGAGACTCGGTCACTTCTACCTCGGCTGTCTTCGACGGATACTGAAGCTGAGGTGGCAGGACCGGATCCCGAACACAGATATACTGGAGCAGACGGGAATCCGCAGCATCTACACCACAATGAAACAACTGCAACTGCAAGCGGCTATCCAAACAATTCTTCTACGGAGATGTCGCCACAGGTTCCCGCCGACAAGGAGATCAAGCCCGCCGCTAGAAGGACACCCTGAAGACCTGCAGATTAACCTGGCCAACTGGGAAGACAGAAGCAGTTATCTACGAAGCCAACTGGGTAACCATCATCAAAGCCAAACGCGAAGCTCGAAAATCTAATCTGTCCTCACCTCGCAACGCCAACACTCAAGTACACGCAATATGCCCACGCTGCCAGCGGACGTTCCGGGCACCAATCAGCCCTGTAGGACATCTTCGTACTAACTGCAGCATCCGGACTACACCAGTCGCTGTCTCCCCGTACACCTCTGCTTCATCCCCCACCTCTGACCGCGCTCCCGAACTCCCACTAACACCCTCCTCCCCCTCATCTATGGCCTAAATATCCGCTACGGTTCGATCCACGTGATCCCTCGGGGCACGGGTGTTTTCACACGACTCAGGCCATGTGTCCGTACATACTATTCATCACTTTATCAGTGTCCTCAGCAAGTGGCCTTTCCTCGTCAGAAGGCAAATCTGCATTAATATGCCATTTCATGAGATCCATGTACCTCAGGAGGATTTCATCCATGTAGTCATGAGAGGTCAGAGAACTTGATCATATTTCGACTCCAGTATAACCTATTCCCCTGTCCCAACCCCAACCCAAACCATAACTCTAAACGTAACTCCAAATATAAACCTGACCCCAATTCTAATCTAAGTCCTACCTCAAACCCTAACCTCCCCGCCCTGGAATGTAGCGCACGGCCAACTGCAATGCGTTGGGGAGGCCTACAGCCCTGTCCTTCCTACCCGATCACCGAAATGAGCATTATCACTTAATCCCGATAGGTGAGTAGGCATGCAAATGGTGGAGGGGACAGACCCGAACTAGGCGGCAATGCGCCAGATGATGGGCGTGGGTAGCTGTCCTCGGCTGTGCCTCATCGTCAGGCCTGGCAACCGTCCGCCCACAAAGATAATGACCAGAACTGCAGGCCGTTCCCACAGAGTAGGTTTGCATCGATTATTAAAATAGACCAGCATCCGCGTCCAACCACTTCCACAGAGGACATTTCATTCAAAAACCAAAAGGTATAAATTCCTTTATTTAGCGGTCCGCGGATTTCACAATCACGTCAAATCTCATCTTCCATTTTCACGTAAGTTCCACTGATTCCCATTACCTCCGCAGGTAGATCTTTATATGTACGCATCAGATTCTTTGAAGTATTAGGTCTTTTTGATTCGTCGACGGATATGCCAAAGTCTAGACATTGCTTCGGCATCGTGGAGAATACTTTGATATTTTGTTCTAAAAGAATGAAAGAGTTTCTTCAAAAAACGAGGAATGCAGTAATAGTTCGCGGTCACAATTACATTTGTCGCAGTAGAACATGTATAACCATGCTGGCGACCTAGTGCTGCATGCGGAACTGGCAAAAGTCAGTATGCTGGACTTGGATAACGTTGTAAGTAGCATTGAACCGGTTTTCGCTTAATTACATGGGTGCAATAAATTGCCCCTAAAACGGGCCACGCGGTGGATGCAGTGGTCCAACAGGAGAGCTAGTTGGAAGTCCGACAAACGTTATCGGGCATGTACATCCAGAACAAATGCTAACATTTGCGTTTGGCGACACGTCCCGTCGCCGGTTCACTCCCTGACAGGTGCGGGACGTGTATGCTGCGGATCAGGGGGTGGGGTTTCGGATTTTCGTCGTGCCAGACACCTGTGCCCTCTCCCGCCTCCAGTCTTCTTAACTCTCTCTTGACGTCAGGTTCAGGTGAGCGAGGAGGTCGAGCGAGAGAGTGCGGTGGCTGCTGCGCAAGTCGTTATTACTATAAACTAATACGCGTGCAAGTCGCCGTCTCTGCTCACATCCTACAGCGAAGTGAACGGTGGGCATAGTCAACAACGACGGTCAATCTGTCGAGCGTACTACGCTCCTGACATCCAGGTCTTTCATAGTTTGTTACTTTTTGCAAAAGATGGGCGTGCTTATTGGCGTTCCGATGAATGATTTAAAAATCTAACAACATGCTTTGCTTCACATTTGATCATTTTTACTATTTACCTATGCCGAAGGAGTGGTTCCACACTTTTCGGCTGGGATTAAAAGCAGCTTAAAGCTCCTGTAATTTCTCTTTTTCACATAATACGACGAGATTTAAGCTCTCTACGAATTATTATTTAGCCCAAATCTCCGACTTAGTCGCGGCCTGTTCCTTTTAGTATCTAACTGGAATTTCGTGTATTCGAAAATGTGGTTTGAGTTGTCTCAGATCGTCAGTTATTCCACTGATTAGTAGAACATCTGAAAGAAACCTTGTCGCTTACAACGATTTTGCGTAAAATCGGCGATTATCATATTGCAGGACAACTGTAGTTCGTACAGTTCATTTGGTGTGTTAATAAACAGTTCGACCAGTACACTTTTCAGTCTTCCAGTTACTACTCATACTGCTTGAATGACATTGCAAAGGTATTAGAACGGTACTCAAGATCATGAATCTTTCGAAAAAATGCATACCACAAATTTCATCAAACGAACAGTTGCCTCCATTGTACTCCGAAGGCATTAATTCTTCTAGACCAGGTACGCTGTCATAAGCTGGATTCAAATCTTTCTGTAGAAGTAGTACCTATGGATAGACATAAAAAGGCAATTTTCTAGTGGCTAAGCGGTATTATATCGTTAGAATTTCCCTGCATGATTGAAAGATAATGTTGAACTGCTCATGAGAATTCATAATGTGGAGGATATGCGGACGCGCAAGGCGAGGGGGACGGGGGAGGGAGGTTATCTAAGCAAGTGAGTTCAAATTACATGGCAAACTTGTCGGGCGTGATTAAGACTGCAACACGCGGGACAGCGGTCAGTCGCGCAGGGGAGGGAAGGAGGGGGGTGGGGAGGAAAAGAGAGACGACGGGTATTGGTAATGGGGCTAGGTCCACTATCGATCCTTGCTACGGCAGTGTGAGGTTAATCGCGTGATCCACATGCTTACAGAGTTCCGGTTTTTTCCTCCGTACTGCAGCGACCTTTGCAAAGTGCACGAGACGCCCAGTCGTCTCCCGAAGCAGGACTTTAAATGCAACCGTTTTGCCCACCATATGGCCCGTGTTCACTAGGTGCTTAAGGTGCCTTAAACAGCCACTTCGACACGTGTTCAGTTGACCGAGCTGACAAATGCCTTTGGGTGCGCCCAATGTATTTGCATCCTCAATTTAACATGTAAACTCATAAATACCGTTTGATGTGACGCGCATATAGGAAGAATTTCCTTAGTTGGTCTAACTGGAAAGGCCGTTGTAGTGCGTCCGTTCAGCTGTGCACCGAAGTCGTCGCTTGATCACGTTTGACACATTGTCACCCTTGAAAGAGAGGTAGATGCTCACCGGTTATTTCGGCACGGACATTTCTGCAGGAGTTCCTTGTCTGGGATGGGGATATTTATCAATGAATTTCTCCGATAACCATTTCTAAGAAAACCCTCCAGGAAAGTGATCTTGTCATCGATCGTATCTGAGGAACAGATTCTTGCGGGCTCTGTTGAACAGGCAAAAAACAAGTTTCCTTTTCTCTGAATCGGAACGAAGCTGAAGCAGTGTATGTATTGTCCTTTCTAGGTGGGTTTCACTAGATGGATCTCTGAATAAAAACAATATGCCCGCCTACCTACAAAAATGTCTAGGAAAGGCAGTGTGGAAGATCACGCTCATTTAAATCGTAACGGCGTCATTTTTGCCTCAATTAATGACTGAAGAAAAGTATTGTAGCCATACAGCGACAGTGATAACAGGCTTTGTCTCAATCTTGGACAATTTTAATAGATTATTTTTAGATTTAAACTCAGACAGGTTTACTGATGTCCGCCTATTCGGCATAACGCCCTTAGGCACGTATTCTGATCCAGAGTGCATTCTAAATATTCGGTGATTTTGTTTAGTGATGATTTGCATTCGAAATGTTTTGTGTAAAACTTTGAAAAAATAAAACATGACAAGGTCTTAACACGTGGGTCCAGCCTTAGAGGTTTAATTACTTATTCGTGACTATGGGAGTCAGCTTTATCAACCCTGTTTTCCCTATACCAACCCCGAAATCAGTACTCCATGATGACATTCAATAATTCAGAAGTTCGAATATCAACCGTTTCAAGGTATCAACTTCCACATCTTGTGATCGCAGTGGCTTATTGTATAGCCAGAACGCCCTGCACTTACCTCTCCTAAAGGGATAGCATTTGACGCAGGCGGTTAATTGAGAAGTACATCTGTGGAATACGTAGCTGTGATCACTCCTCGAAAATAATAACCTCTGTGACTCCCTCCACCTTGTTCTTATTGTTTTGTTAGAGAACCCATAACATTATGAAATACTTCTTACCTTCGATTTCATCTTCTCACTGAGCCACGCTGATGCTGCTTTGAAAAACACTTCGAAGAATTTTGGCATATTCAGGTAGATCAGCTTTTTAATGCGGAAGGGCAAAGCTTCCTAAAAAATATATGGATTAGTTTGATGAGGTACCTCTCCGAATCAACGATACTGCACATGCTCCATAACGTTCTTACTTACAGTAGCAATTTTAAAGTTTATTTGGTCTCTAACACTGCTCAAGGCAATTTATCTGTTAGTTGGTGCCACAAAATCGGTTTCTTTCCCTGAACACACGGACTGAGACGAAGTTAATGTAGCTTTGCAGTGAAGCATGACGGTGCGATGCGACTGGAATGCTGGCATTTAAAAGTGGTCTGTGTCGGAGCAGAAATCTTCGCCAAGCAGGCTAAATTAGCTGGTGTATTTGGACTTTTTATGAACAGGTTTACAGTTGATATCAATAAATTAGGTGCACAACTTTCAGCCAAAACAGCTTATGTCTAAAGACGGCTGTCAAATAAATTTTCCAGTCAGATTTATGGGGAACTTAAACTACTTAGATAAAACATGTAGTTGCAAACCCGGTAGACTTGGTGATCAGCATACTACAAGAACAAAATATAAAGGTATAATATCTTGGTTTAAACAGTGATAGCAGTGGCAATTATGAAACATACAGTGAAATCTACTGATAAGTTTTCTAATGAAGAAAGGCTATCTGAGCGCAGGTGTTAGAATTAATAAACATGGAATGCAATCCCAACTGATCTCCTACATAGCAAAATTCTGCTTTTCAATGAAATACCTTTTAATTTTTTCTGTAAAACACATTTAAGATAACTCAACAATTAATTAACGCAAGGCTATAGATCGCATTTTGTATTTTTGACTGACTTGAAACTTATCAATTAAAATTATAAACGGAAAAGTCCTCTCTTTTTCCATAAAATTTTGAGTTCCTCAAATATGGATCCAAAGGGAAAAGAAGTAGCGTCACTTTAAAAAAATAATGATGGTTCTATTTTTCGAAACGCAACCCTGTCTATTCATCTGGCGCTATTAAACAACTTCCCAGTGTTCGTTTAATATAAATAAATTATGCTGTCTTTTTGTAAACTGCAATTATAGTTGAAGACATTGAAAGCTACATACATAATTATGGCTGTCTACCATTTCCGACAAGTAGAAATAGTGTGTAAACAGAAACGTGCTTCCCCCTAAAAGCATCAACGTTTTATTAACCGTAGGTTTCCAAAAATCAGGACGTTAAAGAGATTTTGTGGATTCTAACCAGAAAATATATCTGAATGCACACGGGTAGTGAAAATAAACAGGAAGACATATGTTACTTAATTAGTTATTCTTTCAATCTAACTTCAAAATCTAACAGAAACGATTAATTGGCATTCGGCCTCCCAGCATGCATTATTTGACTTTGATTCATGTTCGCTTCCAATCGCTTTTACAGCTTCATTGAGGCAATAAGTTTCAACTTAGAAGTCAGTCCAAAATAGCAAACTGAAATTCATGGATTCCGGCTCAAAGAGCAACTCATTTTCGCGCGACATTCTGTTGCGAAAACAACTCGTGACGCATATTCTCTACATGAAAATCCAGCTTCAATTAAATATTCAGGATTGTTAAATAAGATTTAAAAACCTTGAGACAACAAACTATAGGCCGCTTTTTATATCATATCGGTCCATTTGTCAGTGAAAATGACATAAAGTCATAATTTAAGCATTCGATATTGTGTGGATTATGAAAAAAACCGACTGAATTTTATGAAATGCGCGCCATGAAGAAAACATGACATTTGAAATCAACAGCACTGACTAATTCGTATAAGAAGGATGCTATCCCGAAAGTGCAATTTTAAATTATCTCTAATTTGAAAAATATAATTTCACCTGTGGCATTTTTGTTACAGATGAATTTTTGACACACGATATATCATGCCCGAAGAAAACAGTCAAATTAGCTGTGTCGGGAATAGTGATATTTGTCATGCTTTTATAAGCCCTTTTTAACAATAACTGTTGTCCCTTTTACGAGGCGGTCCATGGGTATACACTACTCTTTTCCGACCCATTATTGGGAACGGAAGCAACCTTCCGGAGAGGCAAAGTAAACTGAGGATGGATGCTAAAAGCTTTTGCATTTGCTTACAAGAATCTCGAAGGGAATGATAATGGTCGAGTTCGCACAAGTGAACAAGTAGTAAAAACAACGAAATATACTACGTTATCATTTATTAGAAGTCAACTTCCCCGATTATCCTGCATTAAGCACTTTTTACATGAATAATGCCTTCAAGGAGATACAATGCGATGAATGGTGTGGCAGTATATGGGGAGAGGGGAACGGTGAAGGGGGAATTTCGATATACGAAGCACCATACCCGAGGGACACAGTCATGTTAGCTGTGCTGGGAAAAGTGACATTTTTGGGACTTCACTAAGCGAATGAACAGTTTATTAGGCTTCCCGTCTGAGGACAGCATAAGGCAATCGGCTTTGATTTCCAACTTTTCCTTGAACGATGGAGATCGAACTGCTCCATTCAAAGAATAAGATCAGGACGCTATCGAAATATTGTGTTACCCAATATCCAGGGATACAGGCAAAAGCGAAAGATATTTTTATGGAACGCTGGTACCAAACTAGTCAGGATGATACTATTCCAGTTTATTGGACCCAAGATTCTGTTTCTGGAGAATTTTAGTTCACCATTGTTACGGCGGATATTGCATGATCATCTGACAAATCAATAATGACTGCAGCTCAGGCAAATGCCCATAAATCCCTTTTATGAAGTCAGGTAACCTAAGTTTAATCAGTAACGGTGAGAAGTTTGACTGTTCTAGAGGCACCTAGATTGAAATCTGAGGAGCAGCCACAGTCTTTTGACAAATCGTATCCATGGAGGCGCATCTTCTGGGCAATTTAAAATTGAGAATTGCGTCATCATCAGGCTGGTCATGTTGAGAAACAACATACCTGAAAATACATCATGGTCATTTTGGCGGTATGTGGATCCTGAAATTTCATAAGTTCTCTTTTGCCAATTCCTTCAAAGTCCAGGATAAATGCACAGCCTCCGATTTGAACACGTCCGTCGCAGATAAATGCGTCGTCAAATGTTTGCGATGCTTTGTACATTTCCTGGGGATTACTTACATATTGAGACCAGTTCGCTAAAGAAATCCTGAAGATTCTCAAACAGTGAACTTACCTGCCTTCATCATCATACAGAGCACGCCATCCTGTGTGAAACCCAACACGCACATGAGCCTGGAATTTTCGATAGAGTAGAAATATCGTGACTTAATTGTGATATTTTTTGTCAAGTACAAGTCTGCACATTAGATATCTATGTCCATATTATTAAGGAACATATCATCACGCACAGTAATATGACACTAAACCCCTCCCATTGACATAAATTTTGACCTTTCTACGTACCTCTGGATTGTGAAATGAGAATGCCCTTCTATCCTCTATCTATAGAAAATTGGCGTAGCATTGGTGACTGCCGTACAGACGTCTTCTCAAGTAGAAAATCAATGGGTCAAACTAAATATAGAATCTTCGCAAAATGTTAACATCTCAGATAAGTGTTAGCTCACTTTCTCCTAGCAAAATCCACGAGGACTTCTAGTCTGTCCTCCCCATAGTTGAACCACGATGGAACTCCAACGGATTCAGACGTTCGGAAGGTGCAGAAGTTGTCCAGACGTTTCTGTGCCTTCGAGTGATTGAACTTTGCGTGTCGCAGGAAGGCCAAAAGGAAGGTATCGTCTGCCAAAAAAGACATTTATGGAATGTAACAAAATGTTCGCTGTAGAAAAGTGACCTCGAGGTTAGCATTGGAAGAAATGCTTTCTCATGATGACTCAAAATGTGGGTAGCGAAGAACCAATAGAGGTCTTACTATTGCAAGGATATTTTTCCATGTGCCTCGGACAAGGGGAAATTTGAAATTAGATCCGCCCTAGCCCATTTACTGGGCAACTATAGGGTGTAGGATCCACAATTAACTTGAGCTAGCCTGTGGACCGTGTCATACATTGAATTTTTGGTAGAGAAAATCCTACGGATGGGGCAACACACGGGACGGAGAGCAAGAAGATACAGAAAGTAGACCAATTTCTTCCGAAAGTCCTATTGAACGCGATAATTAAAAATAAACAGGAAACGATTTTCAAATAATAACGGACTTTGAATGAAGCGCCGCAGGTAAGTTTACAGTTAGTCAAGATGGGAAGCGACAGTTTAAAATTATGCAATATATGCGCCTTTATGATAATTTATTCGGCACAACTACAGCCTTGCACTGCAGTACTCTAACTGGTAATCTCAAAGGTACTTGTGCATTAAGTGATTTATTGCATTCATCGTTAAGACACGGAAATCGGGACCCCCGTAGTACAGGCGGTCTTGCGTTAATTTACAGGAAGCGCATCTATTCCCGTGCCCTGGCCCTGGTCTTAATCCAAACCCTAGCTCAAACCCCAATCCCAACCTTAGTCCTAACCGCAATCTTCATATAAGCCATAATCTCCCCGGAATTTAGCGTTAAGCTTCCTATATTACGGGGAGGGGCGTCGGTATGCCCGTGTCCCGTGACGATAATAGCTGACTTGTCCCAGGAAATCTTAACCGAAATTCCGAACTGAGTTTTCGATAAAAAATAAAGTTGGGTTGCAATATTGATCATCGCGCAGTGTAATCCAAAGATGTTTCAGTCATGAATGAAGGCGAAATTTCGAGTTCCAGGTGTATGCATAAGTGAAGAAGAAGAGTTGAGCACCGGGCCGAGACAGGCCGAGAATCGATTGAAGCCTGGGCCTCGGATGAGAACTCGGTCAATTGATTTATCGATCTGGCGCCGGCGTTCAGAGCCCTTCGTAGTCACCTCCAGTCGTGCGACGTCGGTCGATGATTGGGCCTACGTGCCTTATAACCGTCGCCTATCCTGTTTCTGCCACTACCTCTGACGATGGACTCCTGTACGAGTCTGAAAGCTCAGGATAATAAACGAAGTGTTCCGGTGTTCGACTCTTCTTCTACACTTATGTTTCAGTCATGTCATGATGGTGGCTTTTGAATGAGATTCTTTTCAGTCGTCTGTAAACACCAACCTCGGTAAAAAAAAGTGGCTACTTGCGTAATATGAATTATCTTCAGTTATCTTCGATATCTTTACAAATTCAATAATATTTGATAGGAAGCATTCATTAAAATATTTTCACTTGAACCCACTTTGTTGCAAATTACTTATTCATTATATCTCATACTTGAATAAAGGATATGTTTCGGCCTTCATGACTTTTTCAGTTCCTGAATAATTTTAAAACCAACCTGCCCTTACATTTGCATTCGGGATCTACAAACGGCAAGTTGTGTATTCACAATGTGTAGAAAATCACAAACGTCTCCTCGTCAGTAAACAGATTTCACGTAGGGCTCATAAAATTGCGTAATAGATGGGGATTAAGTTGTATACTTTATAAGCAACACTAATCAATGGACGGATACGATGCTTTATGAATGAGCGTTCACAATCTTCGATCAAAACCGAGAAATAGCCTACTCCAAGTATAAAATTTGAAGACCAAGAAGAAGACGAATGGGAAAAACGCATACTGATTCAATGGTTATTTTAGAGTGTAGATTTGCAAGCGAGCGGAAAGAGGCTCGCTCAAAACCCGAGATCCTGATGTGAATGGAATATATCTAGGGATTATTTTGCCTGATGATCAAGGACTTAAGTACTTGAGTACCTAAGTACTCTTTCCTAATGGAAATCGCATTTCAGAACTTCAGTCTATACTCCCCATGATAGGTCAGTCACCGCAGGTTTCGTTTCTGCTCATCAACTGGTCTTTCTACCTTATTTGCATAATTTTTCTCCTTATACGTTTTTGGCATGCTTTCTAAAGCCCTGGTGCCTTCAAAAATCCCCAAAGAATAAAATGAAACCTTGTTTCCCAGAGCCGCTACGTTTGCGTCTTACATCAACACACTGCAGACGATAGGCAGTTTTAAATGAAGAGGAGGAGTTCACCGGGAGAGGTTTATTAGAGGTCTGACGTTCCGAGTAGTTACTTCATCTACCCATCTTCAGAGACTAGGCCACGCATTAAACAGAGCCCGCCATATAAGGTGAGACGTACGCATGACTTCCCAATCTCTGAAGGTGGGTAGACGAAGTAACTACTCGGAACGTCAGACATCTAATAAACCCCTCCATGTGGACGGCTCCTCTTCTTTTGATATGTCACTTGGGAATCGCATTTTCACTATTATTCAGATAGATAATTGATAGACAATTTTGCTTAATTATTTTTAGAGCCGTATTCAACTAATGCACTGCAAATAACAATGCCTCAGCCTTAGTAAACCCTGCATGAAAGAATGTTAGTTTTAGATGAGAACAATTAAAGAAGTCATCAGGACAACCTGTGCGACACTTGAGATGTGGCATGGAGGAGAGCCATCGTCGGAAGCTCTCTAGATGCGCACTAACTTGACTCGGGACCTCGCCCAGCTCCTTTGATGCTCTTTTGACTAGTACTTGTGGCAGTGGTTCCTCCGGGTTGAATAGAGTAAAGGGGTATTGTTTCGGCATGTTTTCGGCGCGAAGCAGAAATGACGAGTGAGAGTTTGTCTCACACACTTGCAGAAGATTACTCATTGGCTGTGACGTGATCCAATAAACCAGGAACTCAAGGCTCACACATTTTACTGTAAGTCGCGTTTAGATAAGTTGACAAAGACGTCATCTTTTCTGCTGCTCCAATAAAAAACCTTCCGCACTTTCACGTTTTCAAACAAAGAAAGACCTTTTACAATTGTCAGTTTATTCGCTGGTACCTTGTTATATACTCCCATTGTATGGTAGTCACCTCATTAGCTATTTTGAAAAAGTGAATGTGGTGGTTTTTGACCGGAAAGAGATTTTCAAACTATCAAAAAATGTGCTACGACCAGGAACTGAACCCAGGCTTTGTGACTTTTCCGTTATATTAAAATGGCGCTGGTCGGTTTCTCGAAATCACCGGAAAAACTGCCAGAAGTGCCGACTGAAATAAAACAAATCAACAATACGATCACTTTCGGAGAGATATGGTGTTGCATGAACATTGCCGAAATTAAAGGAACTGATAGGAGAGTACAAGTTGAACATCTGGAAACCTACACTGGGGACCTGAAGACGGATATTTTGCAATGCAGTTTTAAGGTCTTGTTGCGTTTACTTATTCTCGTGGTGATGTGTTAACGGCTGAAGTCCACAGCATTTGCAGTTCAGGTAGAAATTGCACTTCGAGCGGTCTCGGTTTATAATGTGTTTTAAAATATATGTCCTATCCAGACCAGTTTCTTGATAGGTTATGCTGCAGTCGCTGACCTTTCATGACTACATGAATGAAATCCCCCTGAGGTACATGGATCTCATGAAATGGCACATTAATTCAGATTTGCCCTCTTGACGGTAAAAGGCGACTTGCTGAGAGCACTGATTAAGTGGTAAACAGTACATACAGACACATGGCCTGAACTTTGCGAAACCGCCCGTGCACCGGAGGTATCTCGTGCATCAAAAGCACAGATGGACCTTTGTGGAACCCCTGCATACCTATACTAGCGGCATTTGGCGGACGGGCACAGATGCCAGGCGGTGGATGACACCCGCTGACCACAACCAATCAAGCCAACCAGGCGTTCACGGCCGTGAGATGCGTAATGAGTTAGTATTTCAGTGAGTTTGAATTTACCAGCTGAGCTACAAGTCGCCCGCAGACAGTAACACCATTTCACAACATGGACAGCAGACACAGGCGTTCCGCTCCAACTCTCCTTTGCTGGCTGTAGTCTGTTGTCGCCTTTCGACTTTTGGTGTTCTAATGGACGCTATCTAGTCGTGAACAACCACTCCGGTCCATCGTCTACCCTCGGTTGCTACTGCCGGAACGGTCTGAATACTGGCAGAGATGGTGGTGGAGCAGCTTTCAAAACAAAACCGATTTGCAGATAGTACACTCTTGATGGCCTTCCGCGAGTTGAAAACTAGACTGCATGAAAAGACGTGTTCAGTAGATACAAAATAGTTTTAATCTGAATCAATCTGCGTCACTTCATCTACAGGGCTCTCAGCCAATCGCTTTCTGGCCCTTTTATCGAGGATAACGACAGAAGAGGAGGGGGAGGCGGACGGGGTGGGGGAGGAGGAAGCATCAGAGTCCTCTTCTGGTTGGGCACTCAACACCCAGGGAGGTATGGGGAGTTTCTGGAGCTGCGTAGTGCGCTGTGTCGCGGAAAGGTAGATGACTGTGGAATAAGGCGTGAAATGATAGTCCATTCGAAGATAAGACTGCAGCAGGCACCATGCCACAAAGTATTCCGCAAAGCGAAGGCAGGTGGTGCGTGAGACGACCGCGCCTACCTTGTCCAGCAACGCGCCAACCAGCTTCTCCTTGGCCAATAGGTTGACTACTTTGGCACCGGTGAGACGTTGTTGTTGGTTCGTTAGAATTGCATCCACGCACCCCAGTAGGTCCACGGCATTGACGACAGCAGCTGCAGGGGAAATCGTCAAAAGGAGGTTGAAGCCTTGAGTATAAATTTTGTAAATCGAAATGACGATGGCAAACCCGGTATGAAATGAGATATGTACTTTTTTAACAAAGGTATATTACATTTCTGCAGTCAGGTGGTATCATCGGGCGCACAATCGCGACTGTGGCTCATCGGTTTACTAAGGCGACTGTACAAACAAACATTCGTAAACGGCGTGGATGTTCTCGGTTTCTGACCTGTGGATGGTCACGACGTCCTGTCACCAAAGCCAGCGAGATTGACTTCGCGCCGGTGTTGCTGAACAGAGATCAAACAAGTCACATGCTGACACCCGGGTTGGCACAGATGCAGCCAGGGCGAGTCTGATAACAAGGTCATTGAAAATAAGGGAGACAATGTCAGCCTTCCCGGTCTCCAGACAGTTAAGCTCTTCAGCTAGTCGACAGCTTCTGATGCGCGGTGTCAAAGTCTCTGTCTGCCGAGCAGTGTGATGGGAAAATTGAGCAGTGAGCCAACCCGCTACGGGCGACCTCGCCCGGATGCGATAAAGCCTCTGAGGTAGGCGTGAGGCCAGCCAATGGGCCAACTTAGTAGTATACAAGGTTTCGGTATGACAATCTTCGATAGGAATTTTAGACATGGCCCGAACGTTAAAAAGATAGCCCAGCATCCATCGTCCGGAAGTGTCCAGTATAAATAGGGCTCACTCTAACTGCTTGAAAATAGTCTCCAATGTCTATTTAAGAGAAGAATGCATACTACTTAGGCAGTCATTTTGGGTCGAGTGCAGTTTTCGCAGATGATTGAAAAAGAAATTCATTCAAAAGCCGGCATCGTATCCAGAATTAAATACCTAATGATTGTTCCGCACGTCAATTGCACGTCAACCGTGTACGAACTTGACATATAGCCTATTCGCTTTTTTGACCGAACTCGGGTCTGCGTCTAGTGAACTTGAGTATTTATCGCGGAAGGTGTTTAGAGGGGATCGACGTAACACCAATCGCATAGGAGTCAGTCGCCTTGCCGCCCTCTGTAACTGACGGACAGACTCGGAATCATAAAAGGGTCAAAAACAAAAAACGTACACGGAGTGGGAGGCAGGAGTATCACCGGTTTCAGTCAGACATCACATTCGGCAAAATGTTCAAGAGGAGATACAGTGAGTGACCGATCTCATGAAATGCCGGCCAAAATTCTGGACTGCGTTTCTGATTAGGAAGGATTACATACGTGGGGTTGTTATATTGATTTTTTCTGAGGGTTTTTTTCTGTAAAATTAATCCAATCATTTTTAACTTTTTGTAAGGAGTTTTTTCACCCCTCAATCATCATGTTTCTCAATGGACTACTAATTCAGAAACTATGAATTGCATTTTGTAAAGATTCAGCCTACCTCGTCTAAAACTCACATGTAAATTTATTTTAACTTGCTTTGATGGGACCCCGACGGGTCTTTAATAAAAAATTATTTATTTATTTATAATCCTATAACATTTCGGACTCAACGGGGTGTCGGCCTTTGAATGCACTTCTTTTTTACTTGCAGAAACCACACTCGGTAAAAAAAATGACTACTTAGGCAACATGCATTTTCCTATTGATTTTCGATGATCTTGTAAATTCAAATATATTTTATAGAGAATGTGCACAAAATATGCTTTCTTTTGCTCATTTGGTAGGAAATCGCATTGTCTTCATATTTTATGCCCGAAGAAAGTGTATATTTTGGTTTTAAAAAAGTTTACCGATTCCCGAATAATTTCCAGCCTAATCTGCCATTGCAGCAGCGTTTAGTAATTTCAGTCTGCAAGGTGCCCGCTTTCCGCGTAAGGAATATACCATATAGGGTTCATGAAATTTTGCAATGGATCCGGACTGTATTGTACATTTCATGAGGGGCATTAGTAAACGGACATGTGCGGTCATGCATGCATGGACATCGCACGGTCTTAAAAATGTCATAATCAGAAACCTTTTGAAAACTAAAATATACACTTTCTTCGGGCATAAAATATGAAGAAAATGTGATTTCCTACCAAATGAGCAAAAGAAAGCATATTTTGTGCGTGATCTCTGTAAAATTTGTTTGAATTTATAAGACGATCGAAAATCAATAGGACAAATGCATGCTACGTAAGTAGTCATTTTTTACCGAGTGTGGCTTCTGGAGAAGGTCGAACAGAAGTGCATTCAAAAGCCGACATCCTGGCGAGTCCGAAATGTTGTAGGGTTAGGCTGCACGGTAATCAGTATAACAACCTCACGTAAGTAATCCTTCCTAATAAGAAACGCATTCCAGAATTTTGTCCAACATTTCGGGAGATCGGTCGCGCACTGTAAGCAAGGTGAGAATCCGGTAACGGAGACACCAGGTATCCGCAGCACATTATGAGCACGTTACTCAGTCCAGTAACATGTGTATCTGTTTCATCCTCGACCGGCGCCCCAGAGACAACAGGAAACGCAGTAAGACGAATGCCGCCGGTTGGTCTAGCTGCACCCGGCGTATCAGCAGGTGGCAGACAGTGGACTGGTTAGATGAAAAATAAGCAAGTCCTAGGGCTGGACGAAAAAGCGATCGCAGAGACGTCGTTGTGGACTACATTTGGCCGTTACGGAAAACGGCCATGTACGAACGTGAGAATTTGCATGGATCGGTCCGCGTATACATGAACATAAGCTGGCTGTGAGAGGGGGTGACAAATTGTCACAACTGGCTGCCCGCGCTTTAAAAACGGATTTAACGGGTTTAACTCCGTAGTCAATAAGCTAGTCGCCCACATCGGAAACAAGACAAGCCGATAAACTGATTGATGCCTGGGCCTCGGAGGGAAACTCAGTCGGTCGATGTATCGACCTGGCGCAGGCGTACAGAGCACTATGCAGTCACCTCCAGACCTGTGTCACTGGTGTTTGCCTTGTCGATACCTCCCATAACTGTCGGTTTTTCTGTTGACACTTTTAGTTCTGACGATGGACTTCCGCGCGAGTTCGAGAGCTCAGAAAATATAAACAAATGGCTCCTGTGCTCAACCAGTCGTCTTCTTTCTTACTCAAATATGAAAGTCCTCGTGTTTAAAAGATAAGCAATCGTGGACCATTCAGATGTGAGATTGGACACTGTTCTAACAAATTACCTGTCCGCATGGTAGACTTTGTTCACCATCTAACTAGCCTCCACCCACCGCCGATTGGCAGAATATTGGAACCACAAACTGGTGCACCGACGGAGTGGAAAGGGAGGTCCGCTTTCGAATCCACGCGTCACTTCCATGGCCTACGTAAGCACCACTAAGCGAGTCACAAGTGACCCAGATTTTGGACAACCGGGGGAGGTTATGGTCCGTGCGTTTTGGCTGGCCCTGCCGCAGACTACAAAGACAGGATCAACTTTCTGAACTCGGATGCTGACCTCGATGTGGAAGCATGTCGCCAATTCATCGGACGCACACTATAGGACAAAAACATGCCCATATGGTTTTGTCAGATGCACTGCAGATACCCAAAGTCAACAGCGAGGAGCGCAAAACAGGCCTGTCATGTGAAATTGACTGTGGGGGGGGGCCATTTCAGATAAGAGATGATAGGTAACCTTTGCGGGTGCTTGCAGTCCTGCAGATATCACAGGCAGCACGGCAGTCGGAGGCGCTCCAAGTCCGGTCCCCAAGTCCTGCAGCCAAAAGTTGGCGACGACATTGACTGGCCTCCAGGCTGTAGCCCAACATGGCAAGCAGTTTGGCCACGCCTGTACGTTCCGCAACAACCATACTGGCGAGTCGAAAGAAGTCGCCCAAACGCCAGAAGAGGACGACACTGCTTGGACGTTCATCACGTCCTGCACGACCAGACTCCTGGTAGTAGTTCTCCAGACTCTTGCTGGCCGACAAGTGGAAAACAAATCGCACATCCGGCTTGTCTATGCCCATTCCGAAGGCCACTGTGGCGACAATTACCTGGCGGAAAAGGGAGAGGGTGAAAAGTTGAGGCAGGACTAACCGCGACTGACTTGGCCAAAGCCGCGTACCACCTACCACAATAGCAAGTCATCGATCCTAATAGACTGGGCACAGCTACATATAGTTTCCTTATGAAGAGTGCATTTTAGACGTCGCCGATAATAGCAGAACAAACAGACGAACACCAGAAATGCGGTGAGAATGATCAACCATTTTCCCCTTTTCAATACTTTTAGGTGTGAAAACGTTTAAGGCGATCCAGAAGCTGGTCAGTCGACGTTTACGAGTGGCAGTAGTCATCTCGTCGAAAACTGGCTTCGACTAGCAAACACTTTTTGCGGGACAACAAGTCAACACGCCCTCGGCTCTATAGCACAAGCCAGTGCCTGCACTTATCGAGGGCCTGGTGACCAGGTTTTTGTTTTTTTATCAGGAAACGCAAACTGGACAGCTCCGTTAGCCTTGGATATGGCGCCTTGGACAGAACGGTTTAGCAGTTCACGTCGACAGTTCGACCGTCGATTCCGACGGTGTCCACCACCGTGTGCTACGCACCAAGGTGAAACAGGCACGGTAACATGCGCATAAATTAATTTATACTGATAGTGAGATTGCGCAGAATCTACCGCACTCTCCTCCACTCCATGACCTGGACCCGGTGTGGAGACAAAACCAAGAGGTGAACTCCCTATCAGGGTAAAATAAACTCCAAATACCTGTTCTAGTCGATCGCGGAGCCAATTTGATTCATTACCAGACGCAACTAGATTACCTCTAGCCTCGTACGTAATGCGATTCCGATGGGGTGCAGATTTACAAAAAAGAACGCAGAAGGCAGTCAACCTTGCATGTTATTTGCAATTGTCAAACATTGTTAGGTACTATGTCACAGTTTTGGCTTCAGATACTTGGGCTGTTGAATGAAACACAAGTAGACAAAAGTCCGAGGCCCGCAGCAAGTTCCATCGTAATCCTAAAGCCTAACAAGCTCCCGTTTCACAAACGCAATCAAGACGTGTGCATCACCGGATCAGCATCCAACTACCGAATAATTGCTCGCTGTGTTAGCGCACGTATCTAGTCCTAAGGATTGTGTGCGTCTGCTATGCCATGATTCACCAAATCATGACACTCGCAGGCCCTGACAGTTCTCTAGCAAATAGTTCCCTGCCAGTAGATGCGCTTGCGCTCCCGCTAGGTACACAGGTCGTGTGTATGACTGCTCAGTCAGACTTCTCTTTTTGACCCAATGTAGTGTTGTCGTTGGTCCAAATCCTGGTCAAGTGTTTGCCAATAAAAGCGAAGAGACAAGTCCCAGGAAGTTGTCTTGAAGAAGGAGACACGATCGTTGGGACAAGAGCTTTAGTAGCCTGACGTTTCGGATTCCTGCTCGAACCCATCATCAGAGACAACAGCAGATACGGGTGGTTCATGCACAAGAGGTTGTAGTATTTATAGGATGCAGTAGCCATGCTACCGCATACCTATGAATATTCACGGCTCCCCCCCCCCTTCATCAGGCATCGTTGCACGTGGCGAGATAGCCGACATTCGCGTCGTTAATTGCTGCAATTTCATTACGCGCGTTGGATGCTGGTGTGATGATTGCTCGACCATCTGATGCGCTGACCCTGGTGTTGGGAAAAGTGTTCACCTGTGCGCTCCCGGCATGGCTAATTACTCCGCTTAGGCGAAGTCTCAGCACCGAGTATGGAATGGGAAGATCATTGCACTTGTTAATTGACTGGTGGCCAGTAAACTGGATCTGGTGCAGATGCGGACAAAGCAACTACGTCGGGGAAGCCGGAAGACAGCTCCGAACGCGAATGGCCGAACACGCTGCAGCGGTGCGGAGAAATGACGCCAGCTCTCAAGTTGCGGCTCATTCGACGAGATCCGGCCACACATTCAAATTCGAAGAGGCCGAAATTCTTGCAAGAGGTGACAACCGCGTGAGCCGGTAGCTGCTTGAGTCATGGTTTACTGGCCCCCAGTCCATTAAAAAGTGCAATGACCTTCCCCTTCCATATTCCGTGCTGAGACTTCGCCTAAGCGGAGTAATTAGCCACGCGGGAGGCGCACAGGTGAACACTTTTCCCAACACCAGGGTCAGCGCATCAGATGGTCGAGCAATCATCACACCAGCATCCAACGCGCGTGATGAAATTGCAGCAATTAACGACGCGAATGTCGGCTATCACGCCACGTGCAACGATGCCTGATGAAGGGGAGGGAGCCGTGAATATTCATAGGTATGCGGTAGCATGGCTACTGCATTCTACAAATACTGCAGCCCCTAATGCATGAACCACCCGTATCTGCTTTGTCTCTGATGATGGGTTCGAGCAAGAATCCGAAACGTCAGGCTAATAGAGCTCTTGTCCCAGCGATCGTGTCTCCTTCTTCAAGGTCAAGTGTTCACTGTGGATCAGGTGTGTTGGCAGGCCTGGGTGTGGTTTTTCGCCGTGCTAGCCACCTGCGGCCTATCTCGGCTCCGGTCTTCTTGACTATGTCTTCACACCGGGCCCAGACGGGGAGTGGGGAAAGAGAGAGTGCGGCATATGCTGCGCAAGTCCACTCTCACTATAAATTTATTCGTGGGCAAGTCACCGTGCCTGCTCTCACAATGCTGTGCAGCACACGGTGGACAGCGTCGGTCGAACTGTCATCTAGCCAGGCAGTGGAGGCGACGCTTATTTTCAGCATGCTAATATCACCAAATACTGTCAGTAAGAGAGATAAAATTAAACAAAAGTAGCAAATTTTCGAGGGTCTCGCCAGCTCCCAAAGGCAGTGGTAGTTTGCTTGTGACAATTCTTCAGGATATGACATCCCACACTATCCTTCGTGCTTTACACCTATGACTCCAGGCCAATGAACAAATAACGGCATTTGCTTCGATTGAATAATTCCATTCACAGACTGCCTTACGACACGTGAGGAAAGGGGAGTTCGAGGGCTGCAATACAAACCATTAATCTACACTTTACACGAAGAATAAGCATAAGGCAAGAAATCATCCAGAAAAAGACAAGCGCGGCCAAAGAAAATAAAAATGATGAGACCGAACACCTAAATACAAAAACTGTGGACCAACGCAATAGCGTGGTTTCAGTGACCCTTCCATGACCGAGGAAGGCTCTGAGGTTTGGGTCGCCATCCAATAGGTGTTACTCCGCTTTAACACGAAAAGCTTATACTTGACTGACTGAAACCGTGCGCTGACACTTTCGTTAAGAAAATGGGGTTCGAGCGATAAGTGGTCATTTCAGCAACTACGATGCCCCGGTCTAAAAATTTAAGGATGCGCACCCATCTCTAAAGTCCTCTGCAAAGTCCGGAGCAGACAACGAAATTGCGTTCCCCGATGTCATTCTGTGCGGACAAGAGAATGGACCTATTCAACATAGGGTATTCCGGAGGAAAGCCTGGACAGGAGAATATATTAGTTTTTCCAGTTTTGGTCCAGGGATTGACGGCAAGAGTGTGGCGTATGTGTTCTCTTAAAACTGTTGAAACAGAACTCCAACACCTGCGGAAGATAATTCGCGAAAACGGATACCCCAAGAAAGTTATCCTTCTGGAAGGTTGGGAAGCACACTACAAAGCCTACCACGGAAACCGCAGAAAAGAAAGACTTACTGCCAAGACTGCCTCTTCTGGGCGAATTAGTAAGACGACGACTAAGGACAACTATCATGAACGCTTTCCCTGCGGTGAACTTACGCATTTTCCTCACGAACTCTCCCTTTCTACAGTCGAGAAGTAAAGACCGGCTACCGTTGCAGGCCACATCGATGTGCGCTTACTCATTGACTTGCTCCTGTGGAACAGGATACTGTGGCCGAACAACGAGACGCCTATAAAAGGAGGTACGTGAAAACATACCGGCTTGGCTAGACAGAGGTGAAAACAGATCAATTTCGAGTTCTATTCCTGCACATGTTGTTGGCACGAATCACCCAGTCGCTGTCAAAGAAGCCTTTCCGGTTGTCTACCGGAGACGAGCAAACTTCTTTAAAGGCCTACGCCGACTGGTGCTAGCTACGGCAGAGGCAGTAGCTATACAGCTAGCAAATCCAACAGTACGTTGTCAGAAGACGTTGGCACAGTTGTTCTGTCTTCCGTAGCCGGCACCGGCCCCAAGATGGTGATTGCACGCCTCCCTAATCCCTGGATGACAACGACTTACAAACATCACTCACGGCCTATGTCATTTCCCCCCCCCCCCATTGCCCCAATGACCACAACACGCCGATATCACCATGTGGGTGGCTTGGGAACGATGTGTTTCAATAACCCCCGAGACACCTATAAACCCTGTCAACTTGCCATATTTTCATTTTTTGTGCAACTGTATGGACCTGGTGATGAATTACCGAAAACGTGTGCTGCCCACTGGACTTTTTCATATTAGCATTTGGTTTGAGTTAAATCGTAGTATTTGGAGACTTCTTCGTTGCTTTAAAAATAAAAGCGTATGCACTCTCCTCCCATTTATGTTTCGACCATCACAGACCACGATGTCCACCGTACTTGAGATGCATCTACCTCGCTCTGTCCTCCCACCCCATCGCCTTACGATGGGAAGGCGAGTTCAAAACGACCAGTGGTGGAGGTGGAAGCGTCCCGTTTACGAGGGCTATGCAGGATTCAATCATCAGTCTCGCGCTTACAAGGCCTCGTCCAGGCGGGTGTCTCCAATCTCATGCACGTGAGAGTAGCATAAAGGCCAGGCTAAGGGATCATGAGAAAGACCAAGGTAGCCCACCAATTCGTAACCTTTGAAGTCAAAACTTTCGACGCCCCATGGTAGAGTTACACGCGTCGGGATTATTATTATTATTATCAGTATTAAGCCTATCGGGCGACTGATAATAAGACTGCGAATGACGGCTGACGTGGTGTGAGAACCCTCGCCTACGTGTGTGACGCACATGCTGGTCCCCCGCTCCAATCAGATCCGACGTCGTTAAAAGTACAACTCTTACATCAGTGGGCTGCACAACATCCCTTTGACGACGGTGGCAAATCGCATCGCAAGGCCGTTCTAAGAGCTGTGTGTGAGGCTCCGTTGATAGATGGCATGTAAGCGTGTGTTGTCGGATAGGTGCATGCGTAGCCTAAGTGCGTTTACGTGATTGCAGAAGGGTCGACGTATGCGAGGTCTGGGCTGTGTCACCTTACTGATGGTCTTCGTGTAAACGCGGATGGTTGAATAGACCCATGCGGCGTCTGAATGACACGAGACAGTGTGAGCACGGAAGGCGTGACTGACGGGGTCAGCCGAAATATCGAACACTGCTCCTCCAGTCATGATACGGTAGATTCGCGAGTGGTCGACCGGGCCGCCACGTGATTCGAATGCGCGGTTGCAATATGAACAAGTGGGCAGTGTGTCTATACTGCCACTGGTGGTGATCACTGTGGTAGCGGTCGTTTTGGTGTCTTACGATATCAAGTCATGGCAAACCAGAACCGAAACGCTGGTGATGATGTTGATAACAGAAATGATGGTGATGATAATGAGGATGATGATGGTGGTGGTGGTAGTGGTGATGATGATGATGATGATGATGATGATGATGATGATGATGATGATGATGATGATGATGATGATGATGATGATGATGATGATGATGATGATGATGATGATGATGATGATGATGATGATGATGATGATTGTGGCGGAATACCCCTAAAAGGAACCACGTGATAGATGCGCTGGACCAACACGGAGGCCGCACAGGTTTCTGGCAGGCGTTATCGGGAATGCGCACCCATAACAAATGCCAACACTCGGGGTGCAGTGGCAGGACCAGGTGTCCGTTCAGGTCGCGCCAATTGGGGGTTCCTACCCCCCCTCCCCAATTTTCGTTGTGGGATAAAAGCGTGATCAAGTGTTTGTTGTGGACTAGGGAGTGTGGTGGTACGCCTAGGCGCTGTTCCGACCGTGTCAGCTACTTGCGTCCTCTCCCTCAACCGGTCTTCTTGACCATGTCTTGACACCGGGCTCAGGTGAAGGAGGAGGAGGAGGAGGACGACGACGAGGAGGAGGAGGAGGAGGGAATGCGTAGATGCTGCGCAAGTCCACTTTCACTGTAAACTAATTCACGCGGTGACTTCACCGTGCCTGCTCCCGGTGGATATCGTCGGTCACCACGGTCGAATTGTCGATGGTGATGGTGACGGTGTTTTGTTTATGAGAAGGAGGTTGATTATGCTGACACTGCGGTGGACCCAAAGATGCCAAAGGAGGCCAATCCGTGCCCTAATGTCAGTTTACGATTCAGACATGTCAGAGAGGGTTGAGTGTTGGCGATGTTGGTAGGCGCGGTCAAGTCTTGAACGCCCCTCGCTCCGTCTCGGCGGTCGCCAACCATCCCCATGTGGTCGCTCCAATACAGTTTAACTTGCTCCTACATACCATAGGTGCCAAGCATCCTTTGCCGCACCTTCCCTTCAATATTATCTAGGAGGTAATTAAAGTGAAAGGCGTTTAGTCTTCTTGTCCGAGTTTGGTAAAATGTCTACGTCCGGACTCAGTAAAAGATCGTAATCAGAACGGCGGGACTGCATCTGACCAATTTCGTGTTGAGCAGAGTGTCCCATCAAAGGCCTAGGTGATCGGGGAGATCAGAACCGAAATGTCGTCATCAATCCAGATGAGACTTGGGATGGTGCTTGCCAGGTGCATGAATTCGACTTTCACGCGTTCAGAACTAAACGTCCTGCTCCTCTAGAGGGGAATAGTAGCCGCAGGTACAGGACCCCCGTGTGTTGTCCTAAGTAAAAACTATTTTCCCCAATTTCGAAATGTTACTCCAACCACGCCGATGGCTGCGCCTACATATTTGCCTTGCCAAAGCGCTGAAGATGAAGATGGTTCGGGTGTGCTCCTGTATCACACATGCAATTACTCCGACTCCGGAGAAATTTTAGTACAAGATGCGTGCGTTTTTCAAGGGGACTACTGGCAATCAGGCAACCGAGAGAATTTTAGGACCAAAGGTGTCACCTGGTTATGCAAGATTTGGGTCTCGCGGGGACCTGTAAAAATTGGTACTGCAAACCGAGATTTCATACCTGGTTTTTTCACACGCATTTAGAAAAGCAAAAGAAAGCTCACGTGTGTGCATCCCCACAAAATAGCGCCAGGCCAGTCAATAGCATTCGGGTCCTAGTCCATGGGTTGTGACTTAACTTAGGACCTCAAGACACTCCTAGGTCTCAATTTGTAAAAAAAACCCTCGCCTGAAAAAGCACATCAAACGTCCAAGGTTTAAACAGTGTTAATACTAGGGATACGCAAGCGCAGGCAATGTTCAACGAAAGCGTACCCTGAAGACGTATGCAGCAAGCATATTTATGCTGCATAATTTTTTTCTTACTTTACTCCCTCTTATATATGACACCCAAGTAAGTGGGGATCGTTCGATAAAGTGTTTGGAAGTTTTAGGCGGTGGGGTTGTGAGCCACAGTGGAAGCCAGTTATCATTTGTCTCAAATTCCTACTTAAAACGGTTCAGTAGGTGTACTAAACTAGAAACCAATATTGAGCTGTCGCGACGAGAAGAGGAAAACGCAGTAAGGGCGTAGACTGACACACCAGTATCTGATTGTCAATCCATTTAGAATGAACGGCGGATCGATGCGCAGCATCAACGTTTGCGTGGTAAAAAGCCGCGGCAATGCCCTGTTGTTGGAGAGCCGCAGACAAGTCTTCCGTGTCTTTTTGGGAAAGGCAGTAGATGAGACCTATGAAGGGCAGGGAATAGGAAGCAGAAAATGGAACCCAAAATGCTCTGGCATAAGTGCACTTGTACTTAATTAACATAGACATTTGACTCCTGAAATGGTGTCGGTTTGCGAGTGATTGGCAATCATTCGTAAATTTCGACAAATTTCATGAGTTAGGTCACTAACTGTATACACACACCAGGATTTCACACACAGGAGAGATTAGTTGACAAAACTGGGACGAATGAATACAACACCTACCCGACTGGCCGTCAAATTCCGTCTTCAGTAATTTAATTATGGTCGGATATGTTGCTGTGGGTGCCCCAGGCCGGAAGATAACCTGTCAAATGGACAGAGGAACGTGGTTGAATGGGGATCAAAGTATCGAGGCGAACCCCTCGACCTTCAACATCAGCACCACTAAGGACAGTGAAGTGTCAGTCAGAATGCAGGGAGTCATACCTTGTAGTTCAGGTTCGGCCTGTTGTAGCCAGTTCGTAGGACAAGACAGTTATCCTGTGACAAACCAAGCATCTTCTGTATATCAAGCACAACCTCGGCGGAGGCAGTGGCAGTGAGGCCCAGGAATGGAACAGAGGGAAACTGGGTTTTGAGGACGTGGAGGAATTTGTAATCGGGTCGAAAGTCATTGCCCCACTGGCTCACACAGTGAACTTCATCAATTGCAATCCGAGCCAGTCGTCCACGACTGTGCGCCTTCTCTAGCCTGTTCATCAGCCTCTTTGATTTGGACAACTTCTCTGGTGTGACAAAGAGTATCCGAATTTCGGAGTGTTTCTGCTGCGAGTGCGGGAAAACACAGGCACCGGCTGTAAGCATACAAATGGGGAATGGATTGGTGGAATCGCATGAAATAACACAGACGGCAGGCCGGATGTCGGTTGTTCGATATGAAAATGGGCATACGGAAAATTTTCTGAGAATAGCCCGGCGGCCGAGACTACCCATGGAGTAATAAGGAGGGTTTTGTAGTCTTATTCAGGCTGTATCACGGACCTTTCCAGCAGCTGACACCCACGTACTGTTTCCGTTAGTCCCATCCTATACGGAGAGGACAATGACAAACTACCAGCTGAGACCATCTCTATGTTTATTTACGCCTTCACCTGCTCCTGTGGGGCAGAATATATTGGTCCCACGAGCCGGCGTTTATCCAAAAGAATAAATGAACACCTCTCAGCATGGTTAGGAAAGGGACAAATAAAGAACATCAGCAGCTCTATCCTCGAGCACATGGTAGACAGAGACCATCGTGTGGACTCCACAGAGGTCTTCCTAGTGATTTGCAAGGTTGTCAAGATTGACTTTTGAATTATTCGGGATTATATCCAAAAATAAAGCGCGGTTGAACATGAGAACAATCATCTCCCCCGTACTGCCGGTGGCCTTGCGTTGAGTTCCAAGGAGTACATTAGGTGGGCTAGCTCATGAAATGTCAACCGAAATTTCGAAATGCGTTCTCGTTTCGAAAAAATTAATTATGGTTGTAAAACTAATCACCGTCCAACATAATTCTTTAATGATCCAGTTACCTCAGGCTGCCTTCTTTCGAACGAACTTATTTGCGACTGCATGCATGAACTATACTCTGCAAAAATGACGACTTAAGTAGCATGCAATTTTCTTACTGATTTTGATGCCCTTAAGAGTTCAATTATATTTCATGAAAAAAATGCATAAAAATATCCATTCTTTTATTTATTCGGTAGAAAATAACGTCTTCTTTCAGTTTTATACTTGAAGAAGGGGTATAATTCGATTTGTAAAAGTCCCAAATTGTGCGATTTTTAATACCTTGGAATGGCCGCCCATAAAACGTCATGTATCAGCATTTAGCAATGTGGCATGTAAAGTGAACAATATTGCTCAAATCGACTGCTTAATTTTGTGAACCCCATATGGCCTCCTCTTAATAACGTAGAGAAATGGATGGTTTTCCGTACACGGAAAAGATACGGCCTGTAGGTTTGGAACCCTGAATGCAATTATAACAGTAGGTCTGGTTCAACATTATTCGGGAATTAGAGGAGTTTTTTAAAACCTAATCATACTCCCCCTTCGAGTATAAAATTGAAAGACGTAATTTTCTACCGAATGAGCGGAAGAATGGATATTTTCATTCATGTTTTCCATAAAATATAATTGGACATTTAGGGACATCGAAAATCAGTGAGAAAATTGCATGCCACTTAAGTAGTCATTTTTGCAGAGTATAGTTCTTGCATGCAGTCGCAAATAAGTTCGTTCGAAAGAAGGCACCCTGAGGTAACGGGATCATTATAGAATCATACTGCAAGTTGATTAGTTTTACAACCATACTTAATTAGTCTTTTAGAAACGAGAACGCATTTCGAAATTTCGGTGGACATTTCATGAGTAAGCCCACCTACTGTACATATCCCTGCGTCCTACTTCTAACCCCCTCGGAGATTCAGCGCAAGACTACCCGTAACACAGGAGAGCACTCACTCCCGTGCCTTACACAGGGGACAAAGCAAATCACACGGATAAGCGAATACATTCAATAACCTGTAAACCAGTAATGAGAGTTCGGAGTTCGAACTTGTGAGACTGCACTTTCACCGTCTGACGTGCGCTGCAGAGAAGATGATAGAGCCTTAAACAAGACTCCGATACCGAGTGGATGACTCAACTTCTGAGACGACTTAAAGGTTATCGCGTTGCTGGTGCACTAAGTTATGGGGCATTCGGGTGTGCATGTTAGATAAGGCGCCCCTACATGTTACAAAGAGAACACCATTAAAGTTTGCGGTTAAAAATCCCGACGCCACAACTAGGTCAGTAGGTCGATCGAATGCAAACTGGTGCACAATGATGGGCCGATCTAGACGCAGTCATCAGGTTCTTTGATGGTTTCTCACCAACGAACCTGCCTGAAGGATTTTTTCCCAAATTCTAACCAGAAATACCATTTTTCAGTAATCAATCCACAAATCTCAAAAGAGAAGAATGTGACCTTGTATCCTTCCACGTGTTAGAGACGGGCTTTGCATATAATGAACACATCTAAAGAAAATATCCTACCGAAAAAGAACTTAAGTAAGTTGTTGTGGGCACTAGCGGCAAATCTGCGGCGACTACCTACATCGGTCAGACACAAGAATATGGACCTCCCCGCCTATTATTACAGGTGGCCTCGTGCTAAATTCCCGAGGTTCCTATTCCGGTGCCCTAACATTGACCTTAACCCTAACGCTTACCCTGGCCCTAACCCCAACACCAACCCTCATGAAACTTACCCCAACCCTTCCAGTCCTGACCCTGACCTCTAACTTTGGCTAAAATTTAATGCAAGGTCACCTGTAATATGGTGCAGTTGACTTCCCCGAACGTTGACAACCGACCCAGTTCTTGTGTGACAAACTTGCTCTATTGTTTAGAACGCTGAATTGGAGCAGCTGATGGCGGGAATATGGTGTATGCAGTCGTTATCGAGTTTAAGAAATGGGCACTCAGGAGCGCTTCGGTGTACGAATCATGAATTCGCCTAATTTATCGCTGAGCTGCTCAAAGGTACTCAAGTCCTCAATGCCAGTCCTGTATCTTCCAAAGTCGGCATTCGCAACAGTTGACAAAGACTGCTTTGCTAGAATTTTTGGAACGTTTTCGTGGTCGCAACTGGAGTTAACCATCCAGACCTGAAGACTTTGGATCTCCAAAGGCCAGAGCGTTCTCGAAAAAGTTTGAAGAGGCGCACAACCAAACTGGTCAACTGACGGGGCGCACTAGCCCGCGATACAAAGTTTTCTTATCTGTATGCTACTCGGGGAGCTGATGCAGTTGTTCCGCAGTGTAGTCAGGACTGCTGACTCGTACCGGGAGTCTGAAATCACAGCGAACCTGCGAAGGCATCCATCCAAAGTATGTGTGATTGGAGTCAGGCCGAACACGCGGAAATTGCTCTCCAATGGAGTGATTGGAGCAGGGAATACTCTACCTGTCCGGGCAAAGTTGTTCTGATGCCCCGAACAAACCACAAATCGCTGTTTCGGATACTACTGCGAAGTTTTCAGTAGCGTTTATTTTCTACCTCGTACCTCATTGTACAAAACCGCTGGCGCTCGTGTTAGCACTTGACTACAACTGACATCGTACCATTCCCTGCAGCATACTCGTACATGAACTGAATACTGTTTTGCGCGCTAACTAATGTGTATGTATATATATATATATGTATATATATATATATATATATATATATATATATATATTATGATAGTGGGCGCTCACCGATCAGGTTACGGAACATGCTCGTTCCGTTGTGCCTTGGGGCTCATACTTAAACCCTCGCAGGCAGTCGCACAGCGACTAGTGATATATGTTGGAAAGGTAATACCGACAAAGACAAGGGAGACCGGAATGGCCATTTCTGGTGAGCGCCCACTATCATAATTAATATTCCCGATCACAACCGACAGGACAACGGGCCCGTGGCTCAATGGTAGAGCGTTCAACTCCATGACCAAAGATCCCGGGTTCGAATCTCAAGTGATCCACACTTGGGGTTGGGTATGACTGGCTGATGACGGCTAATAAGCCAGAAATGGCCATTCCGGTCTCCCTTGTCTTTGTCGGTATTACCTTTCCAATATATATATATATATATATATATATATATATATCGGTGCTACTAATGGTTGGGATAGTCGCGTGCTTCCGTAAGGTTTTGACCTTTTTTATACGTATTTCATGCTTTTTTTCCTGAATTCTTTAACATACATTCATTGGTTATAACAAATAGGAACTTCAAAGGCGCATACCTAGAGTTGCCTTGAATATTCTGAACTGAGTGGATGATAAACAAATTCCCAACCTCTTTTCATTATGTTGCTTACTTCGGCTTCTGTGGGCTTATACTCGCTTCCGTTTAGAGAAAGGAACTTTATATGTGTAAACCGTGGTGGGAGTGGAGGGGAGGATTTAGAGCCTACTGCTCCTCCGTCCCCGAAATGTGAAGCAGTGGCATTGCAGACACACCTTCTCAGTACCATCTCCACAGATGTCCAGGAGAATTTTCTGCTGTGTTGGAGGGGGGGTGCTGGAGTCCAGGACAGCTATCGCGGACGGTGGAATGCCCAGGCGCTGCAGGTTCAGGGCCTGATCCGTCATCAAGGAGACCAGCGGACTAACAACCAGTGTAAACTGAGAGCGGTACTCGGGCGTGGTGAGTAGGGAGGGACATTGGTAGACCAGACTTTTTCCGGCACCTGCGACCACAGGGAAAGATAGAAGTCGGCGGCATGCACAGTATCGTTCTCACCCAGGCAACACCTGTGTCACCAAACAGGCTGTGACAAGGTAAATCAATATTGGAAAAAATACCCTTAAACAATTGCTAGTCTACTTAAAACACGTTAAGAACATCGGAAGACATAAACCTGTGTGATACGCGTAAACGTAGCTTCTGCCTCATAAGCTATCGCGTCCGCGACTTCCTCTTACTATTGGAACATGGCTGGCATGGAAAAACTGAAGTTTTCTTTTCTATGGCCTATCTCACACGTAAGTCAGCACTGCACCCTCAAGACAGTGGTAGTCCTTCTCGCGTGGAGCGGAAGAACCGGCTTTTGGGACTTGAATATGTTCAACATTCCAGTAGGGTAGCTGGTTGGACGCCAGAATAAGTACCCCCCCCCTCCCCCCAACCAATATTGCAGATGGTCTTGTAATAAATTCCAGGAAGGGTATCCATTCCCGTGTCCTAACTCTTACCCTGACTCTCCTAACTCCAACCCTAACCATCTGGAATCTGGCGCAAAGTCACTAGTAATACGGCGGGTACTTGATCTCGTGCCATATAGTGTAGTTAACTGCGTGCTCAGACATGGCTTTGATAAAGTGCTCCCAAAGTATTACTTATCGGGCGGTAAAAAGAACACCTTACCCAAAAATGAACGCAAAACAAAGACCAAACCAACTTGATGCAACAACGGCCTACAACCGACTGTTGAGATACTGGCAACTTGAATTTGGTGGTAATCGGAGTTGCACGGGTGGAAACACTAGAACTGGCCTGAGTGCGGAAAAGTAGAAGAAAATGCACGCGATCGCCGGTGTTTATGTAGACGCATCATGCGTTGACAGAACTGCGCGGTACCTTATGTAGGAAGCCAATGACAGTGCTGCAGTAGCCCCGTGGGCAATTGGCGACTGTCATTGGCAGCAGTGGTGAGTCCGCAACCAAGGTACGCAGCAAAAAAATGGTAAAAGAACACCCTGTAAAATCGTGCAAAATAATAACTGAGTACTTTGCGAAGGTAGTGAGGGATATGCAAGTACCTGTGACGCTGTGATCGACAACATATGGTGCCACCTAGAACACGTAACGTGTTTATCTGGCCCTGTTTCAGTAAACACCGGGTTGGATTAAAGTTAGAAGTTAGGGCTAGCAGTACGGCCACCAAACCCCAGCCCTAACCTTCACCCCAACCTTAACCAAGCCGATAACCCCTATTAGCAATGTACTGGTAACTTGCCCAAGCTATTTCAGGGTAAGATGATACCATACTAACAGCAGAGGTACTAGCTAAAAGCTCATACACGCGTGTTTCGCCGATATTCAGCCGCTGCATGGCGCAGTTGTGGGGAGTTCGGCTCGTCAGTGGGTCCCGCAGCATTCCCTAGTATGGTATCACCCTATCCTAAAGTACACTACTGACTGCCTGTCGGTAATTACTGAATATTACACGGTTACCCGCTGTGGCTGATGGACTTCGGCCCAAATATTCATACATGAAAATCTCGGTCTGAGCCTACAGACCTTGAATAAACTGATCTACTCCAACCTCGTAGATAATTTTTGAGGAAATTAAAAAGAGACAATTACCCAAGCTACCTAGGCAATTAAAGTAGCAAGGCAAACGTTGTTGTTTTTCCGTCAGATGTTTCAACTAAATACAGAACTCGGGTAAACTAGAACAGAGAACTCCGCTTGGAATGGCTTACGGAATATAAAAGAGCCACAGTTCTTTCGAATTGAGTCAAGTCCTTTGAACAACACGACTATGAAAACAAGCACTCATTTTTTGTAAGACTTACTAAAATACTTTTGAAATGCACATGGTTGCATGGTGCTTACACCAAACAATTCACACGATGTTAAAATATAGACATATTTTAGACAGGCCCTTGATCTCCATTTGACTGAGATGGTTTTGCCCAAATATACTGCTCATAGGTATGTGGTAGCATGGCTACTGCATCCTATAAATACCGCAGCCCCTTGTGCAACAACCACCCGTTTCTGCTTTTTTGTCTCTGAGGATGGATTCGAGCAGGAATCCGAAACGTCAGGCTAATAAAGCTCTTGTCCCAGAGATCGTGTCTCCTTCATCATGAGATGGTTTTGTGATGATGGACCAATATATTTAGGCGTAATAAATAATGAGAGGACTCCAAATGGTATATTTTTGCGCGGCATCTGTCGCATCTGCCCCCCCCCCCCCTTACTTATCAAGCTCTGACTGCAAGACACGGTCAAAACGACCGGAGGTTGACTCGGGCGCAATGGCTGACACGGCTAAGTACAACCCGTCTACGCGTACCACACAAACGATCTGGTCCCCAAAACATATCGGGCAACTTTAAAGGGCAACTCGAGTCTCATAGGAGTGAGAGCGCCATAGAGGCTACAGCGAGGAGCCATTACAGCCCAACTCGCAGTCCTTATAAGGACTGAATTGTCCGATCATTTGGCAACCTTCCAGGCCAGGACCCTTAGCGATTCCTGATAGACTTATCCGAGTAAGATTTATGGTAGCGGGAAATGCGCTGATGTGTCCGGAGGGTGGATTCTTTGGTGTCGGCTTTACCCCCTCTTCACTCACCCATGCACCATTCGACCGTCCTGGTCTGCCAACCAGCAACTGGTGGGATTTGGCGCAGTAGCTGACGCGGCGTCAGGGTCTACGCCTGGACGTGCCAACACCCCCCCCCCCGGCCGGTCCGATTAACGTGGGCCCTGATACAGGCTGGCTCCCGTCTTTGTCCAGCACAACTGCAGCGCAGTCCGTTGGGGGCGACGACCTACCGCTAAAAAGCATGTCACACGCATGTACGGCAGTAGTCATGGGCTCAGCGCGGCCTGATAAACACGTACCGTGAGTCAGTCTGACTCCCGTTTTGGTTCAGCGCATCTGAGCGAGGCTGTTATTCTTCCCTGTATCCTGTACTTTATGAACTTCCCTTGGCTATTAACTGCTATATTTAGTCTCACCTTTGTGAATCCCGGGTTTCCAGTGCGGAAAAATTATCCCCACAGACCCGTCAGAAGGTCCAAACAGATTGCAAAAGAAGGGTGCGGACGAGTGCTTACCAGTGGGCATGACGAGTATTACGTCTCGACCATCGAGATAGGCATTAATGGCCAGAAGTTGAAGTGATCTGAAGGCCTGAATTTTAAACACCTCCTGCCTCACGCGATTCACTTCGGCTGACCAGGGAAAAGTGTTCTCACAAGAATAGTGTGAAGTATTCTCCGAGTTTGTAGCATGATCAAGTTTTGACAAAGCAATACGGTGTTTGACCTGAGTAAAGGCAACAAAAAGGTGATGTTTTTAGGAGCAGCAAGGTAAAATTATTTGGCACAAACAATTGTATGTGAACAGAGTGTTCAGTGAGGACGAACAAAGACAGGAACCACAAAGGTGACTTCTTGAACTGCGCCCTACCATCGCTAGCTCTACTTTCTCAAGCTAATATTTTGGGGGGTGGGGGGGAGTGAAAAGCTCCTTGAGTCTCTGACAGGAACATTAACAGAAAACAAGGGATGCAAGTTCAAACATCGTAGGCCTCCCGGTGAGTCTCCCCGGCTACCTGTAACGATCTCTCCCTAGAAAGCAATACCTGAATTTCAAATATCTAGGCTATTGTCATACGACGTTCAGAAGGATCTGTATAAAGTTAAGGTTTCAGGATCCTTTGGAAGGAAATTGCTGTCGGAAAACTCGTAAATTGGGTACTTCCAGACAGTTGCCCCAAAATCCGGCAGTAAAATAGGGGATGTTAGTCTAGTTTACAGAGCAGGCCAACTTGTCCGCATACAGTGAGTGACAGATCTCATGAAATGTTGGCTAAAATTCTGAAATGCGTTCTTACTTAGGAAGCATTACTTAGGGGCAGTTGTAATACTAGTCAGTCAGCGACATAATCCTATAATATTTCGGACTCGGCAGGATGTCAATAGTTGAATACCCTGCTCTTCAAACTCCCATGGTAACCGTACTCGGTAAAAATGACTACTGAAGTAGCATCAGTTTGTCCCATTGGTTTTCGATGGTCTTGCAAATTCAAATATGTTTTATAGAAACCCCGAACAAAAGTAAGCTTTCTTTCAGGCGTTGGATAGAAAACCACATCATCTTTATATTTTATACTCGAAGAATGAGTATAATTAAGTCTTAAAAAAGTTTTTCAATTGCAGAATTATTTGGAGCCCGATCAGTCGTTGCATTAGCGCTTAGTGATTTCAGCCTACAAGGTGCATGCGCTCCACATAAAGAAAATCACAGTCTTTTATGCATTTAAAAAGATATCATATGGAGTCCACAAAATTGTGCAATGGATGCGGACTATGATGCACATTTCATGAGCGGCAGTGGTAAACGGACAGGTACGATGCTTTATGAATGGACATTGCGCGGTCTTAAAAAATCTCATAATCAGAAACATTTTTAAAACCTAATTATACTCATTCTTCGAGCATCAAATATCAAGATTACGTGGTTCCTTATCAAATGACCGAAAGAAAGCGTACTTTTGTTCGGGGTTTCTATAAAACATATTTGAATTTGCAAGACCATCGAAAACCAATGGGACGAATTGATGCTACTTCAGTAGTCACTTTTTACCGAGTACGGTTGCCATGGCAGTTTGAAGAGCAGGGTATTCAATAGGTGACATCCTGCCGGGTCCGAAATATTGTAGGATTATGTCGCAGGATGATTAGTATTACAACCGCCCCTAAGTAATCCTTCGTAAGTAAAAACGCATTTCAGAAATTCAGCCAACATTTCATGAGATCGGTCACTTACTGTACATACACTTCATCACTTTGTGCGGCTCCGGATGATTCTGTAAAAAACATAAAAAGCGGATGAAAACGTTTTCAGAAAACATGCTTACACATGACCCTGGAGACCTTAATAATGCAAAAAGTCAGTCCGGATTTAGAAACTAAGACTCATTAAAGTTCATCATCTTCTGAACTAAACTAGTCTACGGTTTAAGGGGAAAGGTTTTAAGACGAGTTCTCTCACAAAATGACTCTGACAAATAAAACCCTTAACTCGTTTAATAAAGGCACATAAACCTATTTGAAGTGACTTATCTCTACAAAACTGCCTCATGCTAGATCCCCGTGCAGTGTGTGATGTCAACATCAGCAGCAAAAAGGGTCCTGACCATGAGAGCTAGGCTACTGGTTGCCCAAACGACGCAAGTACAAGTAAGTCTTAAAAAAGTTTTTCAATTGCAGAATTATTTGGAGCCCGATCAGTCGTTGCATTAGCGCTTAGTGATTTCAGCCTACAAGGTGCATGCGCTCCACATAAAGAAAATCACAGTCTTTTATGCATTTAAAAAGATATCATATGGAGTCCACAAAATTGTGCAATGGATGCGGACTATGATGCACATTTCATGAGCGGCAGTGGTAAACGGACAGGTACGATGCTTTATGAATGGACATTGCGCGGTCTTAAAAAATCTCATAATCAGAAACATTTTTAAAACCTAATTATACTCACAAATTACTGACAAATTAATCGACCAACAAGTCAACGGTTGCACTGAAAGAGGCATGTAGAGGTTGAAACCTGCCAATCAGAATTGGGCGCACACCAGTCCACTGACTTCCAGAAGCAAACAGGCTCCGTATGAGCGTCAAAGGTCACGAGCAGGTAACCAAATGACAGGACAAAGTCGGCCAAGCTAAAATAGCCGAGGGGGACGGACGACAAAGGATGCGGGTAGATTGGTACAGTACTGTTTCTGACTGATTCTGCCTTCACTCAACCAATCATAACCCTGACCACCAGCTGGGGCCAGAAACACAAACGTGCGCTCGTACGCCGCGCAGATGATTCACAAACGGAGTCTCGCTGATGGGTCATAAGCACTTCATCGAACTGAAGTTCACCAGTGCCTCGCCACCTGCCAGCCTCTTTACTGACCGACTTCGGTCTGGCAATTGGTTGCCTGTTCGTGACCTTCGCCACGCATACGGAGCTTGTTTGCTTTGGAGAGCCAATAGATCGGTGTGCGCCCATTCCTGATTGAATAAATACCCAGTCGGGCGAGGCAATGATGAGCTTCGGTTCGATGAAGGGCTCATGACCCAGTGCTGTGTGAGCGCACGTTTGTGCTTCTGGTCCCAGCTGGTGGTCGGGGATTATGATTGGCCGAATAAAGGCAGAATAAGCCCAAAAGGGCACCCGCGTTCTATGTCGCCCCTCACCTCTTCTAGTGTAACTTGTCCTACTGCACGCCACCCCGCTCAGGAAAGGATGCTACGCCTGAATTTGTACGGTTGCCACTGGGTCCAGTGTCTGCGAGTTTTTAGCATGCGGTTTGTGGATCATGTTTATCCAAACACAGTAACCGACTTTAAGTAAACCTGTTCAACGTTACAGAAAAGGTGGACCTCATTTTTATTTAAGTAAATGCTTTTGCCTCCAAATGCCATCCGTTTGGGCTCGACGAATGCGACGTCTTCTATGAAGTATTATCAGTGAGTCAGTAGTTTACTGGCGAGAAATAACAAAGAAACCTAATCTCGACCAGCTGAAGAGACACCTGATCGGTGCAACACGCTCAGTTCAGTTCTCCGTTAAGTACGATTTTATGAATACAGAAAGCCATGCGATAGAGTTCCTATGAAGACGAGGCGGACGAGGACTAGTCGGCACGAGGGCAGGTGTAAAGTGTACCGGTCACTATGGCAATGCGAACCGGCGTAGTCCGTGGCTCTGTGATCGGTGGTTGGGAGAAGAGACCACTTTGAGCGACCGTGCAGTGTGTAGTGTCACCATCAACGGTCATAAGGTTTCTGACTATGAGAGCGCAGCTACGTGTTTTGCGAACGACGCGGCACGATTGCACTGAACGAGGCATGCAGACATTGGAACTTTTCTATCAGAAATGGGCGCACGCCGGTCTATTGGCTTCCAGAAGTAAACAAGCTCCGAATGGGTGACAAAGGTCAAGAGCAGGTAACGGATTGTTGGCAACTTAATCTACCCTAAATTCGAGCAAGACCCCACGACTCGCGCGACATGGCCATAACAAACTTTGAAGTAAAACTACCCGATGTCTAAAAGGCGCTCAGGAAAATCGTGGTATTGCGATCCAGCGGAGGGCTCTCTAGAGGCACAAGATTATTTGCTATATGAACTACATTGGTGCCTCGTTGTTGGCTACAAGGGCCATGACGCTCCAGGTAAGATGGACCGAAAACTGCTAATGGCTAGCGACAGAGCTCAAACATGAAAAGCAGGAAAAGGCAAGGATAACCGGTCTTTGATTCCTAAAATAATCTCGCCGGGCAGATGCGGGGAAGACATAATAAAGCAGACCTGATATCCTAGGTTCTGTGATCGCCCTGACAACAGATTAATCCGTTCGGGTTGTACAACAGTGCTGTTGCTGTGTGTGGGGGGCCATATTCGGTGCACTTGGCGGTCGCGCATTTTCACTAAGAATCTCAAACTGTTGATGTGCAGTTACGCCGCAACAGGCATTGGTTTAGCCACGTATTCGTTGGCTTCTTCAAATGTTATGAAACCCACCAAGTTATGAGGAGCTTTGTGGTAACGTCCTTTCTGATTTAGGATATTTTGGTGGCGGTGCTCCTCCCCAATCCAAACGATTCGTAAGACAACGAATTAATGGAGGGGCTCCGCAAAAAATACAGCAATGAGTCACTGTGGTAGATGATCAAAAATCATTGTAGAAGTGCGGAGTTCTCAAAAGCGATAAGGTGTCCCGGTACGTTTTCAAGCAAAGGGGGATACAGCGGTGATGTGTAATTATTAATACTTATGGGACACTGTCCCACAGTAATACATACACAGCATTCAGCCCCTCACGACTTAATTAGAAAATTTACAACTTCAACAATATTTTTGCGTTAAAATGCGCCTTTTTGAAAATTAGCATTCAAAGGAATCCAGTAGTTTGGTTTCGAAGAATATTCAGAATTGTATGAAGTCTTTAAATGTGTGCTTTAATGTAAGTGCGGACGTTCCTAGCTCCACTTTCCAGGCATATGATGCATTTCTGTAAAAAAACTGTCAACAGCGTGCATGTCGAACAATTTGGAAGTGTAGGAACGTGGCTCGCGTTTTGCAAAACGTGCATGAGGTGTAAAACTAAAGAATCTAAATGTTGCGATTTAAAAAAAAAATTTTAGGAAGACCGCCCCCTGCAACAAGAAAGCAAATCTCCGAAAAAACTTCTCTATAAGATATAGCAAATTTAACCGTGTCATCGAAGAAGGGAAAAGCATGTCGTTCTTGCGATTCCTCTTGAAATAGACTGACATAGTAGTTACCTGGAAGTCGGGATATGATTGCGTATGGAATAATGTTAGAACATGGCTCGACCGTAAAGATATTACAACAGCATGTAAATGTGGGTTCCCTGAATGCTAAAGTGAACGTAACGTATACTACTAGAAAGAGATCCAATAATGGGAAGAGTAAAGCCGGGAATTCGCTACCTGCTACGAATTTACGGCCAAGCAGTGGGGCCTCCAAAATATTCTGCGGCAGAAATCGTAAAACTCACCACAGGGGGATCACAAAATAAATAAAAAGACTCGATGCTTCCTAATTTACGGAGATTTCGGGCTCTTTAAAAATACAATATTCAGTAGCCAAAGCACACAGGCATTAACAGCCTCACCTGTTCAAGTTGCTGTCTTATTGTTTCCCTCTCTTGAGAGAGTGTGTCAATCTGTCGATTAATAACACGAAGACGTTCTTTGAGGTCATTTTCGCAAGTTCGGAGGCCTGAAAATAAAAGGAACAAGAACAGCGCAATCAGTAAAATATGTGGATTGCTAGAATACGCCAAAACGCATTTAATCGATACGATTCCCTTTGCTTTGCTTTGCATATTAGTTTAGTACGCCGCCTGTTTTGGAAAAAAAGATGATGACTAAGTAGACGTTTTATGTTGCAATTTCCTATGGAGATGTTGGAGGAAACAAAACTGTCATGCTGTGCCGTGGGACACACGATCAAAATCACAATTCTCGACGGTTGTAACGACACATGTATTGGCCGAAAATAGGTAACTATACAAGTAGGCTTTTAGCTGGCACCTGTGTTGGTGGTGTGTTTATTCAAAAACGTGCACACATACTACTCTTATTTTGACGTGTATTTGTGGCATTTTGTTTAGGCTGATCATATTTAACTGGGACGTATGCAAAAAATACTAATTAAATCTGACAAGCCTAATTAGGACAACTTAGCTTCAGGTTCGTCATTAACTTCAGACTGAATTACAACGGACACTGCAATAACTGTTTAGAGTAAAGAGTGTTCTGGGTTGCTCAGAAAAATTACTTTAAGCAACAAGAAAAAACTCACACTCAAGATTTTCCGTCATTGTATGCAGGATCCCGCTAGGATAAGAAGCCTGGAGTAGGTGCTCGTTTTTACCCCCACTGAGATGGGAAGAAAGCTGGGTCCGACAGGCTTGAAATTGTTAGGAAGATGGAGATAAGCAGTGATAGGCTGAAAGTTGCTGGAATTGACGATGAACTTTCGTAGCCAGAATTTGGAAACGGGAATCTAGGACGAGTGCGGTAGCTCGAAATTATCCTCAGCAGGCAACGGGGGCTACAACTGACTCGGAGAGCAGTGATGGCTCGGCGGAAGGCCTGAATGGCTTTTATTCAACTGAAAGACCCTTGACATATAAATGCAAACTCATAAACTCATATAAATATATTACTAAAGTAGGTAGACATGGCTGTCCTTTATAAGAAAACTATTCACAAATGAGCGGGAGAGCATTATAAAGGGGCATTTCCAGGAAGGAAATATAACCTTAGAACTTTGTACGGAGCCACATTAAAATTAAAAGTTGTGCCTTTGACGTAACGTCAGGAAACGAAGGCCAATTTTGTCATGCAAAATAAGCTGACTCATCTAGTTCTTTCATCGCCAGGGGCGTAAAACAAATATCGTGGCCACTGGAGGAGGGATTTGCAGAGAAAACAGAACATTCCTGGGCGGAATCAAAATAAACCAAGGGAGGGGAGGAATTCTCATGCATTTTCACGAGCAACATATAAAAGCTACTAAATTAGGAAAAAAAAAGTCGGAATAATTAGCAGGCAATAAAGGCAGAAATATTCAGGGGGCTGGATCTTGTATCTCAAAAAGGGACCCGCACTCATAGTGTTCCCTCTTGTGTTTTTGCTTAGCTCCCTATGTTGTCTACTAAATGTCAACCCTGGAACAGCTACTGTCACTAATGACTGGAGACTACTTATTGTCACCATCTAAAACATCTAGTCGGCTGGGGAAATAATACAGTTTACTTAGTCTCAATAGCATGGTGTAGTAGGTTATTGAGAAAACTCTTCATAAACATTCATGCTGCAATGGCCGACACATATCTATAGGCCCCAGCCAGCATTGCTCC